AAAGAAAGGAAAGAGGAGACAATTTAATGAATTGAGCAGATAGAGAATGAATAATAGGAGTTACAACTAACCTGTCAACAATGGAGCATGTATCAATGTTAATATCCAGCATTAAAATGTTATCAGGATTCTCATGCAAGGCCAATAAATCAATTGAAGTAGGTCCAATGTAAATATCTTTCATGCAACCACGGAAACCGCTCTCATCCATTACATCACTCGCTGCAATCAAATGATGAAAGAGATGTAGACATAAAAGTGTAGGGAGGCGAAATTAAAATGGCATCATTGATCAAACGATGCACAGTTGTATTGATTAGTACCTAATACTCATCCCAGTGAAGTCAACAATGAAGGACTTTTTCAGTTATCTCTGTATTATAATAAATTTGTCTGTCTTTGGTACTTACGTGTTCCACCAATGTAGTATTGTGTTGTCGTCTGTATAGCTATAAGTCTGTCCGTATTCCATTCTCTGCCGTTTATCTTTATCTGTGCATAGTTGTTACTGATTTCCACTCTGATAGAGTTCCACTGGCCATCGTTCAAATCATTTCCTGAAAGAGCATTATGTTAAATATATACTTCATGCAAAGTTTTTATAAGCAACTCGGACAGGGGAGGAGGAGTTATGAAATTATTAGAAAAGCCTTTTAAATCACTATAACAAATACTATTGGTGCCTGTGACGTTTTTGGGACTACTTTATTGAGTCGTCAGAATACATACTTTTGTAATAGTGCTATATGTCACCTGATCACCCAAGTGTATTGTTATGTAAAAAGTAGTGCCGTTGGTGTAACTTAAAATGTCTGAAGAAACAAAATGTCAAACGTGAAAAGCTCTGGGGTTTCTTTGATGTTTTGTGTGTTCCTGAGTCAACACATCACAGCGCTTAAAACATACTATTACAAAATGATCTTTCAGATAATACATAATGTCATCGTGTACAAATACTCGTGTTTAATTTCGTCAGAACATAGACACTATAAAAGAACTGAGATACATGAACAGTCACTATAATAACAAAAACATTTTCATAGCATCCTTAGAAATAATATTTTTTATCGGTTAATAGCAACATTTATATAAAATGAATAGTAAAAGAGAAAAGTCAGCATTACAAATCAAGAGAATGCTCATTTCTTAAAATAAAAGAATTGTGAATAAAATCACCTAAGAGCTTAATTACATTTTTGTCACTACTTTTCATTAAATAAATGAATTTCTGCAGATTAGTGATGGTTAATTTTTTTCACTATTATTCAAGGAAACAAATTGTACACAATAATTCAGTGTCATTAAATTTACATGATTCTTACCTGCTTCTATTTCCACCGGTGTTAAATTTGGCCGGACGACATCTACTCTCAGACTCGCATCATTCAAACCAACTGTGATTGACCCACCACCTTGTAAAGCATTGTGAAACATTAACCCATCGTTGTCATAGGAACGGAAATCAAAAAGCACCCTGTAATTAATTTGATAGTAGTATTAATCAGCTGACAAGTAATGTTATTTCCATTTAATTTTCGTAATATTAAATTTCAGTTTTTAATAATCTAATTAAAATTGGTACTAAAATGTGTGAAATAAATCTGTACGCAATATCCTATTTTGTTTGGTTTGTACAAATAAAATGGGATATTATAAACTTGAGATGTGCATTTAATAGAGCAAATAATTTAGTTTGTACCTTCAGAAGTTCTTTATAGTAGTAATATACAATTTTTTTTTTATTTTTTAAGACCCAGTAGTCATCAAGGTAACCAAACTTAAATTATGGGATTTAATTTTGACTCATTCTAATAAAATGAGTCCCATTAGAGGCCCACTGAATCTACATCCATTCTTAACCATTTTACCACCAGACTTTCGCCCAATTTGTCAGCACTTTTTTTTTTAAATTCTTCAATATTTATGGAAATAACTCTAATTTTGGAGCCCACAGAAAAAATTTGAGTTAATATTCAGTTTTTACTCAAAAAAATGTGGCTATTGTTGTCCCAATCTTCTGAAGTAGGTGCAGACTAACAGGACTATTTTGTGAATTTGTGATGAAAAGAGGGAACTGGTGATGATGAAAAGAGGGAACTGGTGATGATGAAAAGAGGGAACTGGTGATGATGAAAAGAGGGAACTGGTGATGATGAAAAGAGGAACTGGTGATGATGAAAAGAGGGAACTGGTGATGATGAAAAGAGGGAACTGGTGATGATGAAAAGAGGGAACTGGTGATGATGAAAAGAGGGAACTGGTGATGATGAAAAGAGGGAACTGGTGATGATGAAAAGAGGGAACTGGTGATGATGAAAAGAGGGAACTGGTGATGATGAAAAGAGGGAACTGGTGATGATGAAAAGAGGGAACTGGTGATGATGAAAA